AGGCAGGAGTCTTTCGAAGCACTACTTAGAGATTCCTGGTATTACCTGCAGGGGTAGCTATGTTGGTTTGCTTATTTAGAGTATTATACCATTCCATTCTGCCACTTCTTTGTCAGATTAAAACATTAAAAAGTAAGCATACAGGAGGGTAAGGAAGAAGAAGAATGATATTTGAGTTACACAGTTTTTATGTTGTTTGAGATGGCAAAAAAGAAATATTTGCAGATTATCAAAGCAAGCAAAACAAAAATACCATGATCTGTGACTATTACATTATTGTTTTCCTTCTTCCCTTTATCTCTATGTTAAAAAAATCTGTCTGATGAAAACCCCTGTGTGTTTCCAAAAAAAAAACACACACACAAGAAAATGTGTTGTCTTTGGTTGACCTAATCAAAGCTGATTCCACAATATGGATTTTAGAATTGCTTTTACATGTTGGAATCCCATCCAATAAATAATTCCAGAAGTTAGACAAGATTAACTATGCAGCAATATACTATGTACATAATTGTAAGAGAATCCAGACCTAGGAAAAACGAGTCACAAACCTGTGCCACCCCACAAATGCAAGCAAATAACCAGAGACACAATAAAGGTTTTTGAATAGCTCGTTGCTAATAATATTAAAACCTATAGTAAACAAGTATTTGCATGCCAGATACAGAAATTTTTTGCTTTGGATAGTATAAGGAAGAGTTAACACACCTGTAACATTTGCTTTGCTGTCTGTTCCCCTGTTTAGAAGATTTCACCTCACTTTCTGTGATAACTGGATTTTGAAAAAAAATGACTTGATGTCACAACGCTTCAGAGGAGGCACCTTTTCCCCATGATAACTCTTTCAGGAGTGAATTTCCCTTCCAAAAGGGAGATTTCTCTCACTTCCTATTGTCTCACCCCTGTTCTTAACTATGAGTCATTTGCAAGTCAGATTTTTTTAACTCAGGGGTGGTTTAAAGCAGTTTAAGGTAATATATCAAATAGATGAATGGCATTAAGCCATACGTTTAAACTAAAACACAACTTTTAAAACATAAAAAACTGAAATAGCTAAAACGGACATACCTAAATACAGTAGCCCCAACTGCACATAATTCCATCTTGGTCAGCGAAGTCTGGAGGCTTATGTAAATGATAATGTCTCTGCCTGCTGCCAAAAAGACAGCAAAGAGCTGGTAGATCGACCACCCTTGGGAGGGAATTATAAATTCTAGAAGCAGGCGCTGAGGCTGGATCTAAAATGCCATAAAATCCAGTTCAAAGCAGATAATCTGAATTATATATTGCAGTGTAGATGGGGCCTGAGACTGGATCTACTGCCATATATTCCAGGATCTGATCCCAGATTATCTACTTATCTCAGATTATCTGGCAGTGTAGACTCATATAACCCAATCTGGGATCACATCCTGGGATATAGGGCAATGTAGATCCAGCCAGAGATGTATCCAGCCAAGTGCTCTTAATACAAAAGCGATGGAAAACATTATTACAAATTAAAGTATCAAGCATAAGAAGAAATACTGGAAAGAGGGAATGTGTCCCTGTTGATTCTCCTTAACCTTTCAGCGGCTTTTGATACCATCAACCATGATATTCTTCTAAGTCACCTTTCTGAGATGGGGCTTGGAGGTACTGTTCTTCAGTGTCTCCGGTCCTTCGTGGAGGGACATTCTCAGAAGGTAGTGCTGGGGGACTTCTTGGCCACTGGCCTATGTGGTCGCCTGGGGTTCTGTGTTGTCTCCCATGCTGTTCAACATATACATAAAACTCCTGGGAGAGGTCATCTGGAGTTTTGGAGTACGGTGCCATCTATACGCAGATGACACCTATCTCTATCACTCCTTTCCGTCTAAGTCCAAGGAAGCAGGTGCCTGGCAGCTGTATTGGAAGGATGAGAGCAAACAAATTGAAGCTTAATCCAGATAAGATTAAGTCATAACACAGATCTGAAAATAGGGAGTCAGCCTATGTTAGATGGGGTTACACTCCACCTGAAAACGCAGGTTCGTTGTTTGGGAATACCTCTGGATTTGGTTCTGAACCTGGAGGCCCAGGTATCTGCAGTGACCAGGAGTGCTTTTGCACAGTTAAAACTAGTGCACCAACTGTTCCTGTTCCTGGAGAAGTCAGATCTGGCCATGATGGTACATGCCTTGCTTTCATCCCGCTTGGACTACTGTAATGCGCTGTACATGGGACTGCCTTTGAAAAGTGCTCAAAAACTTCAGTTGGTCCAAAGAGCAGCAGTCAGACTGTTAACTGGGGCTGGCTATAGGGAGCGTACAACATCTCTTCTGAAACAGCACCACTGGCTGCCAACACATTTCCGAGCACAATCCAGAGTTCTGGTTTTGACCTATAAAGTCCTATATGGTTCCAGTCCAGGTTTCTGAAGGACCGTATCTCTTTCTATGAACCTGGGAGACATCTACAATCTACTGGGGAGGCCCTTCTCTCTGTTCCACCATGTCCCTCCCAAGCACATTTGATGGGAAAATAGGAGAGGGCCGTTTCGGTGGCTGCTCCCAGACTGTGGAACTCCCTCCCAAGAGAAACTAGGATGGCCCCATCCCTGCTGACCTTCCGCAAGCTGGTCAAGACCTTTTTATGTCTACAGGCATTTGGTGAAAGGTAAGGGGCAGGCTTTGGAGAGGCTGGATGGCATTTGGGGGTAATATGAGTTTTAAAGGCCATTTTAATGTATTTATTGTATTTTAATTCCATTTCTACCACACTATTTAATTGTTCTTTAACTTTTATATTGTACCTTTTCAACTTGTTTGGTGTGGAGTGTTAGCCGCCTTGAGTCCCCACAGGGAGAAAGGCGGAGTATAAATAAAGAAGAAGAAGAAGAAGAAGAAGAAGAAGATGATGATATAAGAACCATCATAGTTCTGCATATTTCACTACCATTGGCTTGTGACGTAGGCGAGATGGACTTCTCATCTGGGAATGAGTTGCCTTTCCTCTAGTCATACCACAGTCTCTCCCTGTGTTTTGCTGATATTTTAGAATTATTTGAACATGTCAAGAATCCAGTAGACATTGGTTAATTGGCTCTTCTAAAAGCTGAGCGGATTTGGCACTCATGTGATAAGATGACGTCTTGCTTATTGATAACTCCTTGGTGAATATTTGGTAGAGATGAGTATTAGTAGTAGTAGTTGTTGTTGTAGTTGTAGTTGTGTGCCTGAATGTAATTTCTGGTTTATTGCAATCCTAAGGTTATCCTATTACAGGTTTTCCTGTGGTATAGAGTATGTGACTTACCTAAGGTACCCAGTGGGTTTTCATAAATAGCCAGCATTCACCATGGAGATGTACATATTTTTGTTGGGATCAACGCTGTTAGAATGTCTTTAGTTGGAGCGAGAAATCATCTGCCCGTTTTACTCAATGTAGTGTTACTTAATGTAGTGTCAATTAACAGTTCCATTTAGTCTGGTTTCAGGCCTGGCTATGGGCCAGAGACAGCTGTGGTCTCCCTGGTGGGTGACCTATGCAAAGAACTGAACAGAGGAAGTGTGGTTCTCCTGGACCTTTCAGTGAGTTTTGATACCATCGATCATGGTATCCTTCTAGGTTGCCTTTCTAGGACGGGGCTTGAAAGTGCTGTTCCTCAGTGGCTCCTTTTCTTCCTAGAGGGATGTTGTCAGAAGGTGGTCTGGGGAATCTTGTTCGACTCCTTGGCCACTGGCCTGTGGCATCCCTCAGGGTTCCATTTTGTTTCCTATGCTGTTGAGCATTTAAATGAAACCACTGGGAGAGATCGTGTGAAGAGGTGTCCCTGGTCAGTCGTAAAACAGATCTGGGAATAAGGAGTCACTCCAAAATGAAGGTTCGCAGGACGTACTCCTGGATTCAGCTCTGAACCTGGAGGCCCAGGTATCAGCAGTGACCAGGAGTGCTTTTGCACAATTAAAGCTAGTGTGCAAACTGCACCCATTCTGGGATTGTGAGTTTGAAAGGCTTTTAAAAGTGTGTTTATTGTATTTTAATCTGTTTTTACCTTGATTCACACTGTATTATTGAAAGGTGTTTTTTTTAAATTGCACTTTTTAAACTATGACTAAATTGTGGGATTGTTAGCTTCCATGAGTCCCCACAGGAAGAAAGACAGGTTATTAACAAAGTAAATAATAAGAATAAGAATAACTACTACTACTACTACTACTACTACTACTACTACAGCAAGCTTGGTCTCCAGAGTCGTAGTCCAATGCTCAAACTATTACATTATGCTGGCTTTCATGCCAATATCATACTGGGCTTATACATATTAATGGTGCAACTGCACAGTTCACCCTCCCTGAGAGAGCTTTAGAAGAAAATGGTGGTAATAAAACGTTATCTGGAGGGGAAATCAAACCTACCTACTCTCAGTCAAAAGAAATAAATTTTAACAATAGCTGTTGTTATCAATCTCAAACTTATTTATTACAGCCTTTTTGTTTTCCATTGCCTGGTGGGTTTATGTATTTGAAAGGAAGAAAGCAGAGTCATATACAATGACAGATATTGGATAATGCAGTGCTCTTTTGTGTAATGTTTCCTAAGCTGCTGTTATGTCTGGAAATAGCTCCACAAAGTGAGGGAAATGCCTTATTGTAGAACCTGTCTTGGAAAAATTACAATAGTGGGTTTTTGTGACTGTATTGGTTTCAGTTTTGTTTACTGAAGTCAATAGCCAGATCAGACATAATGCCTACACACGTACCTGGAATGAGCAACTTGCCAGTTACAATAAATCAATACTGGACAAATGTTAACTGGCTCCTCACAAGGAGAATGTTAACTGAAGAATAAGAGACGTGAAACATATAAGACCTTATCAGGATACGCTATTAATATATCCCTGCCACTAATTCCATTTGCCCTTTGAACTTACAGGTTAACCATTAAGAGTCCACCTATGAATTAAACAGAAGGCTTTTTGAAAAGCAGGAAGTGTCTCGTATTGTTGGGAGATTGATGAGGACTGTGTCTTTTTACAGGAGGAGCTCTTTTCTGGCTGTTCTTGTTCCCAAGCCTGATTCTCGCTTCTCACCGTCTCGCAGCTACATACCCCGGAGGGCTGTTCTGTATGTACCTGCAGATGATGAGAGAAAGGTGCAGAAAATTGCATCACTTAACGTGGATTGTGCAGTGCTAGATTGCGAAGATGGTGTCGCTCTAAACAGGAAGGTAAGTAGTACATTATCCATCAAGTATCATTATGCTATTGCAGAGTATAATATAACTGCACTGTCAACAAAGCAAGACAGCACAATATGCCCTGTCCATTAGGTTTCTTTTGCAAACCAAGGGGGCTCGAAATGCTACTTTTGGGAACTTTTTGGAACTGGCTATGGGTTTTTGAGAGTTGCTCAAAAAAGGAACTTTTCCAAACTCTGTTTATGCAATTGCAGTGATTTGGAAAATGTCCACTGTATTATGCCATCCACATACCCATTGAGTGACATCAGATGACTAGCCTAATGGTGATCCCTGCTGATTTTTAAGGACTACCCAGGTTTGAAATAATAACATGCTCTATCCTTTTTTTCCTGCCAAACAGGAAGATGTTTGTTTTTCACATAATCAAGAAGTCAAATATGTTTAATTTTTTCAGTGGTGTGAGCATAATCATCTTTGCACATTTATTTATTTATTTTGTTTCAAAAGCATTGCATAAATTAGTATAAAACTGATAAAAATAGGAGGAACACAAATGCCTAAATATCTTTTGATCAAAAATGGGCAACAGCAACCGCATTGTCTGTAGTCTCAAACAGTTTTTCCTCTGTACATGAGGCAGGACACTGCGGACAAGCATACAGATGCAGAGTTGTCTGTTCTGCTCCACAGTTACACAACGTGGAGGGTTCTTCTAGGTAGTGTCATTTTGCCAGGTTGTCTTTTGATCTGCCCACTCCACTTCTGAGTCAGTTCAGGGACTTCCAAGTTGTCCATTCTTGTGTTGTCAAAGGTTTTCGTGGCTGGAATCACTGGGTTGTTGTAGGTTTCGCGGGCTGTATGGCCATGTTCTAGAAGCATTCTTTCCTGATGTTTCGCCTGCATCTATGGAAGGCATCCTCAGAGGTTGTGAGGTTAGGGTTAGCCAGTCTTGTTTAGCTTCCAAAATCACACCGAATCTAAAGTCTTTAGTTTATTTAGGTCCACTACATTAGGGGAAAATATTTTAGGCTAAGAGACTGGCATAAAACCTTTATATACTTCTGTCAAGATGCTTCTGAAATAACTGCTGAAGTGCTGCTACTTGCTATACAGGTTGAGTATCCCTTATTTGAAGTGCTTGAGACCAGATGTGTTTTGGATGATGATGGTGATGACGATGACGATAATATTATGGAATACCAGTATTTGTATCATGAAATATCTTGGAGAATGAGTGAAGTCTAAATGTGAAATTCATTTATGTTTCAAAGACAACTTGTACATGCAGCCTGAATATAATTTATGCAAAATACAACCAACACAGTACACAACACAAGTAGCACATAACAGAATATATTTACAAGGCTAGAAAGAGGCATGAGGCTGGAGGAAAGCTGAGGATAGTTCAGCAAATCTGTTGAAGCCCTGCATCCCTCTCCACCCTCTTGCCTGCAATACAACCACTTCTACCTTGTGAACAAGTGAGCAAGAACTCTGCTGCTGGTGCCTTGAAAGCAGAACTGGTAGGTAGTGGCAAAAGTTTCAGGCATTGGAGTAAGTAAGATTTTGGATTTCTGGATAAAGAATGCTCAAACTATGATAATATTATAATTGTATAGAACTTGTTAGGTCATGTTTGTACTGTACGTAATTTTATTATTCCCTTGTTAAATTATCTCAGACCCTGAAATTACGGTTACAGATAACTAAATTCTGTCTGTTCTTATCACCAAGGACTAGAAACACCCTACCCAGTTTAGACGATTTAAAAATATTTGAGACTGTTTCGTAGAATCATTGACTTTAGAGTTGGAGGTTTTCTAATCCAATCACCTGGTTACTTGAGAATCCCTGCCTCTTTAACTTCCTTGGCAGATGGCTGCTCAGCTTTTGCTTAAATAGTTCCAGCAAAGCAGAGCCCATTACCTCCTGAGACAGTCTGTTCCGCTGTCAAATATCTCTTTACATTGGAAAGTTTCTCCTCATGGCAAAATCTGCCTTCTGGTCATTTCCACAAATTGTTCTAGTCCTAAAACAGTATTATTGAAAACTGGCTCCACTTTTCAGCCAGTTTCAGCAAGAGAACAAATTTGGTCCATTTTCTGCATGACAGATCTTTGTATATTTATTGAGAGCTGTCATGTCTCCTCGTAGTCATTTTTTCTCCAGCCTAGACATACTCAGCAGTTTCTTGTTGGACTAGATCATCTTATTTCCAGTCTTTTGTATATGCTTAACTAACCATGTATACATTGTCATAGAATTATAGAGTTTAAGAGGACTGCAAGAGGCATCTGGTCCATTCATTTGATATGCAGGAAAAGATACCTAAAACACCCCTGAAAGACTTAAAAATGGAGTCTATTAAAAAAAAACTTGGAGTAGCACACTCCAAGACAGTCTATTCTGCTGTTGAGTAGCTGTAACAGTAAAATAAAGGTGCTTTCTATTGTTTGGGTGTTTCTTACCATTTGAATCCATTGGTTCACGTCCTCATCGTTGGAGCAGCAGAAAACAAGCTAGCTCCATGACATCCCTTCAGATATTTAAAGATACCTATCTATCTAGCTATCTAGCTATCAATCAATCTGACTATCAATCAATCAATCTCCCCATGGGGAGTCAGGGTGGCTCAGATAGTTATCATGTCGCCTCTCAGTCTTTTCTTCTCCAAGTTCCCCAAGTTTTTTCTCTGAAAGCTTAGTTTCCGGATCTTTCATCATCTTGGTTGTTCTTCTCTGGCCACATTCTAGTTTGCTAATGTCCTTTTTGATGTTTGGGTTTGATACACTTTTATGATGTTTTTATATCTTGCTTTTTTCAATTGTTTAAATTCGATTGTTCGTATTATATTATATGTTCTTATGTTTTAACTGTGTTATTATGTTTTAATTGTTTTTTTAACTGGTAAATGTTGCTGCATGTTGGGCTTGGTCCCTATATAAGCCGCCCCGAGTCCTTTCGGGGAGATGGTGGCAGGGTATAAAAATAAAGTTGTCACTGTTGTTGTTATTGTTATTATTATCATTATTATTATTCTACTGGAACATGGCCATAGAGCTGGAACAAACTCACAACAACCTAACCATCTTCTTGTTATTTTCCCACATTGACCCGTCAGTTGCCTATCTTGGAATGAATGGGCAATTTTTCTGCCCAAAATAGCAAAGTAATGGGGACAAAACTTTTTTTTTTTGCTCTGCATGCAAAAGGAAGCCCTAACCTATTTAAAATATAGACTGCCTCTTTTGGAGATTTCTGGGACAGGTGATTCACCCTTTCTTTTTTTGGCCAGAAAAGGCAGTTTTGAAAGCTGCAAAAAAAGGTTGAAGGAGGCTCTACATATGCTGCCCCAGGTCTGCTCTTAGCCCACCCTTAATTTATATGCTGTATACAAAGCTCTTATTGGAATTGTGGAAATAGCAGTTCTCAGTAGACATTGATTCATTTATTGCAAAAGTATAATACAAGATATGTGGAGCAGTGGATCTTTATGGTAGTCTTATATGGCTTTTTTAGCTTAGAGGAGGAATGAAAATAGCCTTTTCTCCTATTGCAGAGTGTGTCTATCTCTATGTATCATGCTTTCTTTCTTCTACCAGCATGGATTGAACAGAGACTCCATTGTTCGTTCCTTTAGAAATCAGAGACTCACTCTTATAAGAAGGCTTTCTAGGACAGCATCTTTTTCTATTGTTATGGTTCAATCCTTTAACGAAACAGAAATATTTCTTTTACAGCTCCTTGGTAAGGTCAACATGGCAGTATTTCTATCAGAGTCCTTCCTTTGGATGAATTGTAGGTTGTTTCCCCAGGGGCTGAGGAGTCAAAATTAGACACAGTGGAGTTACGGCTGTGAGTCCAATGAGTCCTGCGAGCTCAGTGCAAGTAGTTCTCACAAAACAAATGAATTTGAAATTGTTGTTTCTGATAAACAACATTGCAATGGGATCATGTAAGTGTGTAAGTTGTGGGAAGGCCAAGTGGAAGAACCAGGAACCTGGAAGAGTACCTGCACATTTAAGGGCACCTACCAAAATAATTGTGTTTTTGCTTGGATGTCTATCCTCCCATATTTACAGTGCAGAAATTAATATTTTCCTCAGTTACTTCAGTGCTCATTATTCAGAACCAGTTAATCCACTCTTGGGCACAGGATGATTTTCCAGCAATTTGGAAACAGAGGCTTTGAAGCACACATAGGATATCTTCACATAGCCCTTTCGGGCCATGCCGTTGCGCTGGCAATTGCTGGAGAAAAAAAAGACACACAGGGCAGCTCATGGCACCCCACACACTTTTCCTCCTCCCCTCATTTCATGGAGGGACTGGAGAAGGTGTTTTGCCATCCTTTCCCTCCCCTGTCACATGACAGAAAGAGTGGCAACACGTGGCAATGCATGTTGCCCTGCCGTTCCTTCTGCCATCACACAATGAAATGGGCCAGAAAGCGCAGGTAGCTCCATTGGAGCTACCCAAACTACCCATTGTAGAGGAGAAAGCACTTTTGGTACTTTCACTCCACTTTGGAAGGAAAGTGGGCTGGGCCTGCCATGCATCGTGTGATGGCACATGGCAAGCCCCATCGTTGCCACAAATAAAAGCAGCAAAATTGGGCTTTTTTTTTTGCCTTGTGTGAAGAGGTCCAAGAAGTGCAGCCAAGTTCTGGCTTATGCAGATTAGGTGTTGTTATGCTTAACTGAGGAGTTCCTTCACAACAATTTAACATCAACAACACATTCTTTCCCCCCTCTCCCAACAGACCGAGGTGAGGTAAAATGAATTAAATTAAAACAGATGGACACATATTATCAATTGAAATGAGTAGCACCAATTTAAAATACTAAAAACAGTCCATTCAAAATTTCAAAATTCATATTTTCAAAACCATCTGGATAAGCTTGCTGGAGGAGATAGACAGCACATCCAACTATTGAATTTCCTCTGGCAGGTTATTGCACTATTTGGGAGCTGATGAAGAAAAAAAATCTTCTGTCAATTGCTAGTTTACTGAAGTAAAGTGACTT